GTGTGGTTTTAGTTGAAAAGCAGCCAAATGATACATACATATATAAATATCCTGATTCCTCTGTCAGGTCTGATTAAGACTTAATAAGAGGCCACATGGTCTGTTAGTATGTTGTGGTCTGTCTTGTGTATCTTTGGAGACAGAGAGATTTGTAGCATGTGTTGTATATTTGTTGGTGATAAGCTGCTTCTGTTGTGAAAATTGAAATGGCTTTATTAATTGCCAAAATCCTTTGACAATAAAATATCAGTTACCTACATAATGTTCTCAAAATAGTTCTTACTTAAGATAATTTCTCTTAAATGTCTAGCCCAGTGCCATTTTTTTGTTCAATAAATATTAGTTGAGCATCTATTAAGTTGTAGACATTGGAAGTACAGAGCCATTTTCTTCATAATCTAGTTTAGGAGATTAAGTGGTATATAAATAAATGAGTTAAAAAATTTCAGGCATCAAAGTTTTGAATTAATCATTCAAAAATGAAATGAAATGTTCATCCACAAGCATGTTACTGCATTAGCTTAGGTAATGTAGCAGATGTAGCCTTTACAGTGAGAAGGGAAGAAAAAAAATCAGAAGAAAGTATGGAAGACCAATAGGTAAAATGGGATATAAAGGAGGCACATAGGAGTAGACTTTACACTAATCTGAGGTCCTTATAGGGCCTCAGAAGATGCCTGTAGCTTGCAGTGGCCTTAGTTAGCATGCCCAAATGGGGAAAGATTCAATGATAAGGAAAAAAATAATCTGTTCACAGACTTTTTAGATGTTAAAGGGAAAAACAATTTTTTTTTTTTTACTGTATTTTCAAGCAGGTCTGCAGGCAGGACTAAGCTGCACCAAAGCTCCATGTGCAACAGTGCCAGTGTGGGAACAACTAGCTTTGAATTTTGAGAACCGGCCATAGAAGGGAAATGTTGGATCAGCTGACCGAATTCTGCTCTTCTTTTATTTTGACTTGAACTGTCTTCTGGGCTAGAGAGCAAACTGTGTTGACACCAACCTTGGATTTAAGTGGGTTAAGAATTGCCTCCTACAAGAACTCAGATTCCTCTGGAGTTGCTAATTATAACCTCTGATCAGAAGTGGATTAATCATGAAGCTCATGAAGCTTAAGCATCTTGGCCTCTCATGCACCAGCCTCTTCCAAGGCCTTGAGAGGGGCCCTAGCACGGTGCTCACAGGGCATATAGTTTCAATGTGCCATTTTCTTGGATTGAGAAAAAGAAGGAATTCAATGAAATTGTTTCTTATCCAAAGGCCTTTTTCATTAGTATAAAAATGATGGAAAGATAAAAATAAAATCAAAGATGATGGATTGACTAACCCAGAGGAAAGAGGGGATGCTTAAGAATTAAGGTTAAGATGCTAAGAGACAAAAGCGGGGTAATGGGAGCATGACTGCCAGCACAGACTGGTATAAAATGAAAAAAGTTAACTCAGACTCTTCCATTAAAAAAATGTATTTTGTTTTGTTAATCCTCACCTGAGGATATTTTTCCATTGATTTTTAGAGAGAGTGGAAGAGAGAGGGAAAGACAGAAACATCGATTGATTGGTTGCCTCCTGCACAAGCCCTGACCAGGGCCTGGGCCGTGGAGGAGCCTGCAACCAAGGTATGTGCCCTTGACCAGAATCAAACTGCAGGCTGACGCTCTACCCACTGAGCCAAACTGACTAGAGCAGACTCTTCCATTTATTTATTTTTTATTTTTTAAAAAAATACATTTTATTGATTTTTTACAGAGAGGAAGGGAGAGAGATAGATAGTTAGAAACATCGATCAGCTGCCTCCTGCACATCTCCCACTAGGGGATGTGCCCACAACCCAGGTACATGCCCTTGACCAGAATCGAACCTGGGACCCTTCAGTCCGCAGGCCGACGCTCTATCCACTGAGCCAAACCGGTTTCAGCAGACTCTTCCATTTAAATGTCTTCTTCAACTTAGCTCAGGCTCAGCGTAATAGATACTTCACCAGTAATTGGTTCCAACTCCCTGCTGGTTTTTCTCTTTTTCAGGAGCCATTTCCTCTGTTTCTCCTCCCAAAGACGGTTCTTCAATGAAGGGGCTTTTTACTACCCTAATGGCAGTGGGGAAAAGGTCCTTGGTCTGCATGCTCCGCACTTAGTATCTGTTTGTCTTTGATTTAGTAGGTTTGATCTGGTCTGGTCTCTGGGCATTACACACTGGACTTGTGGAGAAAAGAATGAGGCCTATCCAGTGCCAAGCTCTTTGCTAGCTGTTGCTAGTAAAAGTCTGCAAAAGGCTGAACAAGGATGATGGGATGAACCTGAACCAGCTCATGACCTTGTTCTTTCATGCCCTTGTGATGAAGTGGGCTTTGGTAGAAGAACCTTTGCTAACCCTGTACCATCCACAAGGAACACAGATTAGTGAGGTGGATCTTCCATGCTTTTGTGAAATAGTTCAATTAATAATTTCTTTTTAATAGCTTATAGATCTTTAAAAAATATTTTTATTGATTTCAGAGAGGAAGGGATAGGGAGAGAGAGACAGAAACATCAATAATGAGAGAGAACCACCCATCAGCTGCCTCTTGCACAACCCCCACTGGGGATCGAGCCTGGGCATGTGCCCTGACTGGGAATTGAACCGTGACCTCCTGGTTCATAGGTCGACGCTCAACCACTGATCCAAACCGGCTGGGCTATATAGATCTTTTTTAATTCCTAAGGAATATTTTGTGTTTTGGTCACTCTGTTTCTGGTAGGTCTTAAGAAACTGTTCCTCGAGCAAGGATGTTTAATTATTAACTTCTCCAGAGAAGAGGTTACTTGACCTCTTAAACCCCCACTTTCTTATGGGTAAATTGGGAAGGAAAATGCTATGTTACAATATTGTTGTAATATATTGTATTGTGTTACAATCCAGAAGGCCAATTTACTAGTTATGGGCTAAGTAAAGGAACAGAATTCTTCCTGCTCTTTACTTCTGCATTTCTTATTCAGAACCAAAATATTTGTATAACAGAATTTTCTTCCTGTTACAGTCATGTGTGGTTTTAACTGAAAATGTGCCAAATGATAAATACATAAACATCCTGCCCACTTAGTCATATCTGATAGATAGCACAAGAGGCTTCATGCTTTTACCTGGCAGTATGTTGTGGTTTGTTTTCTGTATCTTTGGATACACAAAGAAACCTGTAGCATTTGCATGTTTTTAAAATTGGCTGTCTCATCACTGCCCTGGGAATGGGTCTGCATTTATTTTTGTAAATTGGAATTTACTGTATTATATTAAATACATTAATATAATAGCCATTAATGCTATAATAATTATATTAAATGATATATCTTCTATTGCAATATTAAGTCCTCATAAGATAAAGTTGAATAATGTTCTCAAAACAGTTCTTTTTAATTGAAATGACCTGTGTAAAACACTTAGCAGAGTGCCATTCATTCACTCATTCATCCAATCAATAGACATTTGGAATTTTTAAATAGCCAGCCATTGAGGCTATAGAAGTGAATTAGACATAGGACTTCTGCTAAGAACATATAGAGCTTATAAAGTAAAATTGGCAAGTAAACAAATGAGCTCATGAAAGGGTTGCAGATACTAAGGGAGGATTTCATAATCAGTAGAATGGCAACGAGAGAGAGAGAGAGAGAGAGAGATCAATTGCAAAAAGCTCACAACTTTGAGTGGCACCATTATCATACCACCAAGGCACCACTATAGTTCCATGATAGATTTCTGACAGGTTCCCAACAAGGCTATAGGTAACAGAATGTAATTTAATATTCTAGAGTCTTGTGATTCCTGAGATGAGATGGAGAAAGATGACCTAATACGACTTCTCTACAACCACTATTCAGCATTTATGCTGTAACTTGGTAAATCCAACTCATTTAATCCTCACCAAAACCCTAATATCTAGGCATGATTGTCACCCTCATTTTATAGATGAAGCAACCAAGGCACAGAGAGTTTTAAGAAACCGTTCAAGGTCACAGATACAGTATGTGCAGAGCTGTGAGTCAAGACCAGGCAGTCTGCCTCCTGAGTCTGTTCTCTTGATCACTGCATTGCAGCCTCTCAGGTTCATTGTGGGACCCAGCTGGGTTGGTGTCTTCTGTAAAACCTTCCTCCCTTTCATCTTTTATGAGATTGTACATTGATATTTCTTATGTTTTGAAGAAGATCTTGTCTTTATTGGAGGGTGTGTTAGTCCATGTTGACATTGTACCCCCAACTCTGGAATATAGGGTGCTGCTTGGAGACAGCATGCCAGCCCTGAGTTGAGACCTTTCTTTCTAGCCCATCAATCCCTATACAATGGTTCTCAACCTTCCTAATATTGCGACCCTTTAATACAGTTCCTCATGTTGTGGTGACCCCCAATTTCATTGTTACAAATTGAACATAATTAAAGCATAGTGATTAATCACAAAAACAATATGTCATTATATATGTGTTTTCCGATGGTCTTAGGCGAACCCTGTGAAAGGGTCGTTCGACCCCTAAAGGGGTCACGACCCACAGGTTGAGAACCGCTGGATCTGAAGCCCGTAACAGTGTTTTACCTATGAGATCTCAATGCTGAGGTAAGCGAGACTAAATGTGACTGGTTACACTAAATGCATGCCTATGTCATCCTTTGGGAATGGGTGGCTGGATTCCAGCAAGCATATCCTATGTTCTAGGGGTCTGGGTGAATGGTTTCTAGTGATGGTGTAGAGCCCAGAACTGGGTAAGAATGATAAATCTGTGCCACAGAGGGAGGATGGCATCTTGACTAAGTGATCCAGCAGATCCTGATCCTAGCTTTAGCACCTGAGTTTGAATTCTGGTTCTGATATTTAGAATCAGTTATTATCATTAATATGTTAAGATTACAGATATAGAAGAAGACAGGGTTCATTTAGTGCTATGGGGCTTAGGCATGAGTAAGCGGTTCTTAGAAAATTAATAGGTAAGTATTAGATGCATGTGTTCAACTGTTTCTTTTTTCTTCCTTTTAATTGACCCAAGTCTCAAGAAGAAATAATGGGCATGGCAGAAACTGAGAACTTGTATCTGCTGACATGGGTCCTTTTAGTGGGGAATGTGGCAAGGCTGTGGAATGACTCACAGCTGCCCTCAGTGTTTGTCCCACTGAAAACTTCAGGTGTGGGACGGGGCTCTGAACTCTGGTGGGGACTTTGGGGATGGGGGTGTCACAGAATGTTTCCTTCCCACATCTGTGTGCTTAAACATTGAGGACCAAGGTGAGGGGACCACAAGCTTAAACATTGGCTTGTGTGCATTGCAGAGATGTATTATGGAAACACTGAGCTTGTGGAGGCATGAAGAATGGGGTGGTAGCATGAGTTAATAACCTCAAATTTTGAGGTGGGACCATGCCTTGCATACCCTTACTTCCCTTCTCACTCTCTATACCTATCCCAGGGCTACTTTCTGGAGAGCATCTGGGAGCTGCTCTGATCAATGGAAACCAGAATAAGGCACAGTGGCTAAATTGGGCATATGCCCTTCTGCACTGGGCTTTCCCCTCAACCCACCTGGGCTTTCATTCTTGCCACCACCTTCCCTCTTGGCCTCAGATCTAAGAAGGCAATGGTTTTAGGTACCGTCTGTCCCCTTCTCTTTTCTGTTTCACATGCCTCTCCTTTGCCACCAATAACAAAAGACTTTATCTTTTCCCTTTCTGTTTGGGCAGTTCCATAAAATTATATTTTGCATCTTCCCTACCTATGGGTTATAATAAAATTGTGTTCTGAGTCCTACCAAATCAAATTCTCAGTATATAAAGAGGAACAATTTGAAATTTAGAAAACCTTAGTCTTTCAAAATTATTTTATTCTTGGGACCCAAAAATCCTATTTTTGAAAGGCCAGAGTTGAATGTCAGCTCCTTTTCCTTTATTTCCTGTAATAACAATCTCTTTATCCCCTAAAGCATCATTTGGTGACTGGATGAAATGCAATAAAGTAAAAGGAATCTAGGATATTTTAAAAGACCATTATATAGCTGTTGTATCTATTTGTTTATCTATCCATATCTATCTACCTACCTATCACCATCACCACCATCATCAACTGATGATCACATCTACCTAATCTATTTCTTTAGTGTTTATATTTCTGCCTTCATTAATTTCTTTTGTAGTTAAAATTCTAATATATTACTCAATGGACCATTTTAGGATGTTTAAATATGAAATAGATATTAATTGTAATTAAAAAACACACAAGTAATAAAATTTTACTTGGCTACTTTAGCTTCCAGGAATTTGTCATTCCCAGTCTGCCATCTTGTGGCAATCCTATAAACTGCACACTGGCAACCTGGAATTTCTGATCTCAGACAAGCAACTCCCAGGTACAAGCTGACCCTGTCACACATTGGACAAGTACACTGGTGCAATAAGTGGATTACAATTTGACCCTGAAATTTCTTTGTAAAAATTAATAATTTATATATTTGGAATTCAAATATATAGAATCCATTAAGGACTATGTAAAGATCCCATGCCTACGTTAGCTAAGGGCTGGTAGTCAGTTCTAGTAGTGGGCAAGGGAGAGGTTTGGGGAAGTCATCAATACCTGAGCCTTCTTTGCCTTAAACACTTCCCACTCCAGCCACTCCTGGAAGAGGCAGTCACCCAGAATGAGATGAAGGAGATAGGTTTATTATTTTTCTTTTCTCCTTCTTCAAGAAGGTTGAGCGATTCAGAGGAGAATAGATAGATTTCCAGGTACTACATGGCAATATAGCAAAAAACTTACTATTTTTTTCCACTTGATTACTAATAAATTCCTTTTCTGCATATGTAATAACAATCCCCTCTCTGGATATCTATCACAAGTTAATAATCTGAACTGCAGACAAAATTTATGTGAAAAGATTTTTATGTTAACATTAATTATATGAAAATGAAGATATGGAATTTTCCTTTCCACCATCCTCCTTATCCTCATTCTTTTATTCTTTTTCCTGTCTGATAATTATCGGTAAATTATTACCATTAAATAAGCTAACTGTTAATATGTTCTTACTTTAGAGATGTTTACTAACGGCAACTTTTCAGAAAACAATTTGAAATTTAAATCAGAATGCCATTTTTATTAATTTACACTGGGAAATGCAACTGTCAGATGGGCTGGATATCATTTGAATATGACTAAAGCATCTCCTAATCATAACCCACAAGGGTACATGGAGGAGGGGTTGGAAGGAAATGACTGAAATCCTACTGAATAAACAGGGGAAGTTGGATATTTAGTTGGAAGGTTTAATGCTTCGAGCTCTGCAGGCTGACAAGCCCATCTTTGGATGATGTACCTTCCTTTCCAACGAGACAGTATCATATGCCTCTCAGGATTCCAGATCATCACATTGGCCAGAAAGGGCATTCTCTGGCTTAAACAATGCTTGCATAGACAGTTCCACTGCTGCCTGTGATAGCTCTTTCATGCTTCTGGAGTAGAATGTTAAAACTGAAGTTTCCATCAAGATGTCAAAGTGTAATAGACATGACATTCTGAAGCTAGACTACTAAATACAGAATTTGCAAAGGAAATATATTAGACTTGGTTCCATGGCACTTGGCCCCTTTAAGCAGATTATGTATATTAAAGAGATCATGATATCCAGAGAGAAGGATTTTTGTAAAGGAGGATTTGGGCACCTTTTGTGCCTGAGCGCTGAAGTGAGAATAGATACAATGTCAAGGTTCTATGCATACTTTGTGGTGACAGTGAGGGAAAAAAAAAATCCAGGGAGGGTGAGCTAGAGTAAGAAGATTGTGTTGTCAACCTGTTGGCTGGAGTACAAAGATTCTACATGCTTTTGAAATAGCATCAAATAAACCTGAAGGGAAGAAAAGCAGTGAGTTTGAAACTTGGCTTGACAGACAGCTTCTTTTATTTTTTGTATGCCTGCCAAGTGGATGAAGGGACAGCTTCTCCTAATAGTGCTCCTATTGACAATGGAAGGTATCAGTGAATCAGCTTGACTGAGTTCATTTCACTCTTAGTCTGCCAGCTGTAGAGAAGTAGCATTTTGCTTTCATTAGGTAGACTTCCATTGGTTATCTATTTTTTTTTCCTTTCTGGTCAGATTGTACAGATTCTAGAGCTGTCTTTATCCTCTGGAGTGGTTTCTGTCTCCACCTGAGAGTTTCATGTGTTTTCTCCCTTTTTTGAGGCTCCTCCTGCCTGGAACTTTCTGACTCTCCATTCCCATTACTGCACCAAAGCATTTGTCTATGGGAAGTCATGAATCACAGAGAAAAATGAACATAGTAGTAACAAAGTAGCGTCACTTTTTGTGGTAGCTTCCCTGTCCCTCTTGTTCTGGTTCACCAGTCCTAATAAGTTCAACAACATCAGCGTAGTTATTTCAGACTTTAGGCACCCCTCCCCCCCACCATAACTGGCTGTAGATATTTTACCCCAGTCAACTCAAATACATCTTTTGATAATCTAATCTTTAATTCTGTGAGACCAGTCAGGAGCCGAAAACGAGGATTACAGGCTTTATCAGGGGAGAGAGACCTGCCGGGCTGTCTCGCAACGGGAGGACAGCAACACGTGCAGAGGGGAACACGTGTTGAGGGGAGGTATGGGAAGGAACGGGGGCTTAGTGTACTCGGCACGTGCTGATTGGTGGCTTAAGCAGTGGTTCTCAACCTTCCTAATATTGCGACCCTTTAATATAGTTTCTCGTATTGTGGTGACCCCCAATTTCATTGTTACAAATTGAACATAATTAAAGCATAGTGATTAATCACAAAAACAATATGTAATTATATATGTGTTTTCCGATAATCTTAGGCGACCCCTGTGAAAGGGTCATTCGACCCCCAAAGGGGTCGAAACCCACAGGTTGAGAATCGCTGGCTTAATGTATGGTCCATATAGGAACAAGAGCTTAGGGTATTTGGCAGGTGTGGATTGGTGGTTCAATGTATAGTCCATATAAGGTACATGGTTAGTCACTCAGGTATTTCCGGGCTGCAGGTTATGTCATACTCCGCCCACCAGTTGCGGGGAAGGGAGGATCTATCAAATTCTTTCTCCAATTCTTAATGTGTTCTATCTCAAGCAGAACAAGAGATCTAAGGGAGTACAGATATTGAACAGTTGAAGGATAGGTATGGTCAAAATAAGAGTGAGAAATAGAACAATAGAATTTCAATATGTAAAAATTCAGAAAAGGAGTTGTTACCATGAGTGACAGGGTCTAGGGAGGGGTAGTGGGTGTGAGTTGATGGTCTTGAACTTCTTGGTAAACTCCAACTCCATCAAGTATCAGCTTAAATATCCCTTCCCCAAAGAAGCTTCCCTTGGCTGTGTTCAACCTTCTTGCAATTCCTCTTCATATAATAAACATGGTATTTTTTCTTTTTAAAAAATATATTTTTATTGATTTCAGAGAAGAAGGGAGAGGGAGAGAAAGATAGAAACATCAATGATGAGAGAGAATCATTGATTAGCTGCCTCCTGCCCAACCCTCACTGGGGATTGAGCTGGCAACCAGAGCATGTACCCCTGACCGGAATTGAACCCAGGACCCTTCAGTCCGCAGGCTGACGCTCTATCCACTGAGCCAAACTTGCTAGGGCGGTATTTTTTCTTTATAGCCTTTTCATATATGTTGTTAAACAATTATATATATGTCTTTTTCCAGCAGCTCACTGTCCCATGAGCCCAGGGACAGAGTCTGTCTTGCTCACTGTTTTATTCCCAGCCACAGCACAGTGCTTAAAGGCAATGGTGTAGAGTAAATGCTTAGTAAATGCTAGCTGATGGTGTGTTATATGCTATGCCTGGTAACTCATGAATTTTACCTCAGTAAAATTTACATCATAAGATATAAATTTCTATCTTCCCTTGTTCCTTTCTCTGGTGTGACTCACAGTAAAACCATTAATTATGAAAAGAGAATGAGTACATATATTAGGGATAGCAAGGATAAGATGGACTTGGGGCTAAACTTTATGCTACACCAAGCTATGAATTCAGAAAGATTCCAAAAGGGTGGGAGGGTGGATCCAGGAAGAAAAATTGTGCAAGTAGATCAGTCAGTTGGCTGATGCACTTTCTGACCCCTGAGCACCATCCGGCTCTCAGGGCAGGACTGCTGGCCCTGGGCAGCTGCATA